ATCTTCAGTGATCATTTCATGAAGGCAAGTATTGAGCAGGGCCATATTATCAGAACCAATTGTTCTAGGATTGGGACCAGAGCCAGGTAGGAGCCCAGATCCATCTGCTTGGCCATGGAATATGCATGACTGAGGTTTACTTTGGCAGTCATTTTATGACAAAATCAACCCCCCATAGGACCAACCACACCAGCCCCAGCAATAAATAAACCAGCAAACAACCAAATAATAAATCAAACAAATAAAAAACAAAACAAAGCAAAAAACAAAAACAAACTGAAGGCAGGATAACAGTAACCCATATGAACAAAAACCCCGTACATTGTCAATCATCCCCCTGATGTAAAAGGTGATAGCATCAAGTTTCCCAATGACACAACACTCCATCTGGACACTGACAGCATGAGGAGTCTATGTGAGTACATATCCACCTTGAATTGTGGCCCAGAAGTTGTGGCCCCCCACAGTTCAATCTCCCCTTTTTACCTCAATCTCCCTGTTTACCCCAAGCCTGGGGCTTGGTGCCAGGGGAAACTTCCTGAATCAGTTCTTCCAAGTGAAGATCCCTACCCAACAGATCAAAACCTGTCATGTCACTGACAGGTTATTAGGGCACCAAAACCATGGTGATTCTGGGTTCCCCTCCATCTGACACCCCCTAAGTTGGGGGTACCTCCCAGGGTCCCATGACTATCACCTCCATAGTCCCCAGGTGACCACTCACCACTTCCTCTCCCATCTGAACATCCCAGTCCCCAGTCCAAGGGTGCAGGGTTGGAGGCAGGACTCACTTCATAGCTGGACCTCTATGTCAAGCCCTTCTGGGGTAGCCCCTGCGTGATCAGCGCATGGTCAGTGGTCAGCGCATGGTCAGCGTCCAATGTCATCATGTAGTTTAGTGCATGGCATAGCTCACTGGGGTTGGTTAAAGATGTATTCACAGTCTACCAGGAACAAAATCTGGTCCATTATCCCCCAAAGTTCCCTACAATCATTGTTCAGCACCCCTTCCTGATGTGAGGTCACCTCTCCCCAATCATCCACCATACTCACCGACAGAACCGTCAGCAGCTCCTTTCTTCTGGTCTTAGCTTGGTTTCTGGCAAGGATCTCCTTCAATTTCTATGAGGGCCCCCTTGGTACACCCCAGCCTTGTCACAACGTTGTATAGCCTCAAGTGGGTGGTCGTCTCCCATTTCCCCCCTTTTGAAGGATTGACCCCAGACATTGTGATGTCTCCTCCTCCAAGTTAGCTCCTGTGAAGTGTGCAAAGGGAGGTAAAGTATGTCAATCGCCTTCTCTCCTTTTGTTCAGGACGTGGCTCCTAAGATGTGTTTAATTGGTGTTTTTCTTTATAGTAGTGAACTTAAACAATGGCTGGATCATGCAGGATTTCGATTCCCAGTTGCTTTACGTATAAACATATCATTTTTCACGGTGGCTGTGTATATTTACAAGCCAGCCAACAGTGTATTCAAGTTCCAATCTCTCCACATCCTCTCCAGGATTTGTTGTTCTCTGTTTTTTTGAATTGGGCTGGCATTGTGGGTATAAAGTGGTATCACTGTGGTTTTGATTTGCATCTCCCAGATGGCTAGTGATCATGAGCATTTTTTTCATGTGTTAGCCATTTGTAGTTCATTTTTGGTGAACTGTCTGTTCATGTCTTTTTCTCATTTCTTAATTGGGTCTCTTGTTGTTTTTTAAATTATTTTTTATTGAGCTGTTTTAGAGTTATGTATATTGGGGTAATTAGGCCTTTGTCTGATGTGTCATGGGTAAAAAAAATTTTTTCCCCAGTCTGTGGGCTTTTGCTTCACTCTCCCGATAAAGTCTTTTGATGTGCATAAGTGCATTTATCTTGTCTTCTACTGAGTGTGCCTCGTCCATTATATTTGGCAGCGTATGCATGAATTGCAATAGGGCCCTGAAGTTTGTTCCAGCCTATGGCCATGGTTTGTTTTTTCAGTGAAAAATCATAATTTTTCACTCCTGAATCAGTTCTCTTTATTCTGTCCCATCCTCCCACTCTGTTGTTCCATGCAAATCATCCTAACAGGGTGTTAGATAATGTGGTGCAGTGGTTAAGTGCTCAACTTCTGCGTGATGGTTGGCAATTCACCCCCACCGGCTGCTCTCCAGGAGAAAGGTGTGGCAGTCTGCGTGTGTGATTGACAGCCTTGGACACTCTACGGCTGTCCCGTTGGTTCACTATGAGTCAGACTTGACCTCAACACCGTGAGGGAGTCTTTTGATAGAACAGGCTGTTATTTATGTATAAAACCTTGCTTTTTAAAACGAATTGCTGCAAGAGCAGTGACTTGTGTTGGGCTGCTGACCATAAGGCCTGTGGTTCAAAGCTGCTCCATGGGGGAAAGATGAGATTGTCTCATTTCATAAAGATTTATTCTCAGAAATCCTAAGGAGTACTTGATCTGTCCTCTAAGGCCATTAAGAGTGGGTCTGGTGGTTTTCGATGGCAGTGGGTTTAATGTGTTTTGGTTTTACAAGTAAGAAAATGATAGCCACCCCCAACCCTAAAATCTGAATTTTCTTTTATCGTAGGATGTACCCAGAAGGCAGTGCAAACAAGACCTGCCTTGTCAGATCCAAGAATGCAACTACGGAAACAATTTGTTATAAGCAGATGGATAGCTGAACACCAAAAGGGATGATAAAGTAGAAAGAAATTAGATATTGAAATCAATTTCTTTTAGGCTTACCATGTAATTCAGTTTCACACAAACAATTATACTTGAAGAAATAGGGGGGGAGGGGGGGAAATGTCGTACTAAGATGGGTGCCCGTGAAAACAGAACTTTACACATGCTATAGCCTTTATACTCACCATTTACTTGATTGGTCCAAATATTTATAGTTCATTGTTATGACTGCCAAAACTGGCAACCACAAGGATTGTTGTCTCAATTAGGACAGTAAACAGATTGTCTCTTTTTTTAATGGAAAAATCTAAAATGTAATACTTCACAGTTTAACATGTTTATTCATCTAAACGAGCTAAAAAATAATGGTGCGACATCTGTTCGAGAAGCACTGGTACCTCAAATTTTGGCTGCCTCCCCACCAATTTGGTTGTTGTTTTAAAAAATGAATAATAGGAGGGGGTTCTGTCATCAAAAAATCTTCTGGCATGTAAAGTATCTTATTTTTCTTGAAATAACAATCGTATGTCTGTTGCTAGGGCTAAAAAAATTTCGTATAATGAGAAGGCGCTATGCTGAACAGTTTCAGTTCAATTGTTTCAAAGAAATGCACTAACCCATTATGGATATTCTCACCCTGGTGTAGCTCCCTAAATGCTTCTTTCAGTTCCCTCTACACATGTCTGCATAGCCAAAACCTGGATAAAATAGTGAGAATGTTTATGCAGGTATTGAATCTATCTGATATAGCCTTTACTATTGGTTGCACTGATTCTGAGTATGGCGTCAAAGGGACGGTATCTACCAAACATGATTCTATCCAGGCCTAATGAAACAAGGTGATGCTGTGAAGGAAGAAATGGTAGTGTTCTTTCCAGAAAATCTCAGGTAAGTGAAAGGAGGCATATTTGTTGGAAAGGAAAGATTCTAAAATGATGCTCATGGCTCCGGGGCCAACAACCCTATCTTATGGATGAAATGCATTAAAATGGCATCAGGTCAATTTTTAGAAGTGTATTTGTGATGCTCATCAACAGCACAATTTACTGTAGCATTGTTCACTATGTAATTGTGACTCTGCAAATACAGTGCTGTCGTATTCGCATAAATATAAACATTATAGTAAAAATTTAGTTTTATTTTCACTTAGAGGGAAGATGTATGCGCAATTGAATTTACAACATTGACTATGGATTTCAATAATGCTAAGAAGAAAAAATGGCACATCTCATTTCCTAGAAGAGAGAGCGATATCTATGCTCTACAGCAGCCTTCATCCTAGTCCTCTTCTTTTAATGAGAATCGGGATGAAGCGCATTTGTATTCCATTGTAACCGATAATATCAGCATTGTGATTTCAAATTTTCATTTAGGGACTCCAACCAGTTTTTGAACCTCTACTGCATGCAAAGTTCTATTACAGACTGAAAATACTAAAGAATAAAATCAACTTAAACACGAATGCGCACCGACTATGTACAGACTATTAGAATTACAGAAAGTAACTTAGAACAGACTCTCAGAATCCTATAGTCCTGGATGGGGACAGGGGTATTTCTCTCTATATGAAAAACTGTTAAGATAGATAATCATGCATTTTCTTGATTTTTTAAAATTTTCTTGTTGTGCCACCTTGAAACAACAAACCTCCTTTAAAAATAGGCCAGGTTCCCCGCGCCACCGTTCCCAAACCATGAAATTCTACATGAAGCAATATACTTAAAATATCTCCTCTCAACATAAACTTGCACACAAACTAAAAACCAACAGCCCTGTGGCATTCCATGGGCTTCATTTTATGTCTGCTGCATTCGCTGGAATCTATTCTACAGAATGTTAACAAATAGCCTCCAACATTCTGAAAAGGCATTATAAGTTTTCTGTTTTTGTCATCTGAACTACTGTGAACGGTGAATTATAGAGGGAAGGGGGAGTTGGAAACTCATGCCTCAAATCTGTGTCTGCTGCCAGTCTCAAATGCATGCCACACACCACTCTTGGTTCCAAAGTGCAGTCTGCGGAAACAGCAGGCCGGATAGCGCTTCTTTGTCTTAAAGATCCAAACCAGACTTCCAGTCTGGGATTTCTCTACCAAGGATTGGCTGCTTCCCAGTTAATGTGAGTTCACAAAATTTTCATCTCAGTAAATAGTGTTGTATAAACATAAACTGTCCCATTTTACCTGTTGTGTATTAAGTTCAAAGAATTTAGCCTCTGGGATTTATGGTTCTCTGGGGCCATCAAAGTCAATCAATCAAAGAAATGGACATTGACTCAAACATTCAAACAAATGGGGCAAGGACATTTGTATATAATCATATGATAAGTAGGCATTGATCACAATCAGAAACATTTTATTCTCACACACAAAAAGAACACCTTAAAAGAGTCAAACAGGATGCCAGAGACTTGTGTAAGATAATACATATTCTAACATTTCCAATAGTGTAGGTCAGCATTTTTAAGTACTTCAAACTGTGACATACCTCAATTTCTAGGTGTCAAATCAACAATTATTACATCGCTTCCCATTTAAATTACCATTTAAAACGAGAAGATAATCTCCATTTTAAAGTGACTGTTTTCAACACCATATGGGAGGGGAAATAACTAACTGAAAAGTGTTCACGCAAATGTGATGGGAGTGGAGGAAAGCAGCATTTCGTGCCATGTGGCATGCCACTCAGGAAAGGAAAAGGCCATCATATCCGAAATGCCAGCTTGGCGATCCCTTTGCTTCCCACTTCAGGAGCAGACACACGCCACATGGCACTAAGTGCTGCAACCTTTCCTAAGAATGCCACTGGGATGGGTCAGCTGTGGTGAGTGTGTAAGAATGCTTGGTCTGGCTCCTGAGTTCGTGACCTGAAGGGGAAGAATCCAAGAGTTAACACTAGCTAAATTCTGTCCTCAATGGTTTGGTTTCAATGATCTGTGGGGATAGTGGAACCTTTGGCTCTTTCACACTGATGAAATAAATCACGCTACATGAAAAAAAAAATCTACAGTAAAGAACGCTCCACTGCCATATTCAACGCTCCACTGCCATATGCATGTGTGCAAAGAACTGAAGAATACTTTTTTTGAAAAAATAACTGTGCTTATAAACTCCTCTATACTCCCAGGGTAATTATCAAAGTGTTGTTCTCTTGGTCAGTATGGACACAAGCATCTCATTTTATTCATTTTTCATGAACACAGTACATATACAATAGAACACAGTGTGTACAATCCAATTTTCTATGCGTTTTATACACCATTGTAGCTGAAAACTGCTCTGTGGACACATGGTTCCCCATCTTCTAAGCTGTATGTGCTCATGCATTCTACAAATAAGCCAAACATTTCTTCCCCAGTAAAAAATACTGAACATCTTGGTTATTATGCTCTAAGAAACCAATACACCTGATGAAGCAGCATGGACAGAAACTACAGTTGAGAGCAATATGAGGCATACAGTTTTCGTTTACTCTTTAATTTCCAGCAAAGAGTCCTATTGGTTCAAATATCAAGGGACAGATGCAATCTTGTTAAGCAAATGGGTAATATTCTGATTTAAGTGGTAACCTAAGAAAAATGATTATGGGTAGGTGGAACTTTTGCTATTATGGCTGTGTGTAAAAGATAGCTAGATTTCAAAGACAGATTGCTACATATTTCCCTAACAAGTGAAGAGGGGCAAACTAATACTGCAATCAGCCAGAACAACATAATTAAAATAGAATTCCAATTTTATACATATATATTTTCAATTTTATTTTAATAGAATAATGTTAATTAAAATCAAGATCAACTGAAATTTCTGTTTACACCAGTTCAGACAGCCCAAGAGGGAAGGAACGCTATTTGAGAGACATATGTGGCTCTTTTCGCTTCTGTCATCCAGGTGCCATTTCTGACGGCGCACATGTGCACTGAACAGTTGGCAAAGAAGGAAAAAGATTACTGTAGATGTATATGCAGATAGTCTCTCTAATGATATAAAATATGTCGGGAGAAAAAAACAGGGCTTCTTGGTAAAATGAAAAATTTCCCATGAGTTTTGTTCTTTCTTGGGCTCTAAATGGGATTTGAGTATGTTTCTGTAAATGAAGATACATAGCTTTACTTATCATGCACATGGAAAGAAAAATAGGTTTAGCAATCTGTAAGTGATAGGAGTTCGACACATGAACTGGCTAGGACTCTGAAGAATTTAGGGTCTTTTTCCCATTTTATCTAAATGGACCATGTGTAGGGTGCCTGGCAGCGTAGAGAGAGTTATAAAGAACCCCAGTGGCATACATCTTACTGCATTGCGAGGTAAGGCTCTCTTCTTGCTAGCCTATGCAATTATTTGAAAAGATACTTCTGCCACCTGTAAGTGCCAGCAGAAAGAATCCAAGATGTTGCAGTTTTAGTCCTTCAGAAAGAATTGGTCCCAAGAGGTGTTTTTATGAAATTATTTCTCTTTTATGTGTCGCTTGCCGCACTGCTAATCTTCATCTGGTTCCAGGTCAGGTTCAACATCCGTGGACAGTCTGAGATAAAAGAAAGCATAGAAAGCCAGCAGGAGAGCCAGCAGAGCCGCAAGAACAAGGCCAACTTCCTAGGGGGGGAGGGGGAAGGGAGGAGTGCAAAACAAACATAAGCCTTGAAATTGAGGAAAAGAGGTTCCTAATGTTATAAGTTTCAACAGATAAACCCATATTGTTTCAACATTCATAACAAGTCTGAGTGAACTGTCAAATAATTTCTGTTTAAAATTTTTGCCATTAAAGAAAGCAGCTTCTTTAACACTCAACAATACCGATCAGAATCGTGTTTCTGTGGGTGGTTTATTTCTATTATTTCTATTTAATGTTATTATATTTATGAATTTCTAATAGCAAAATTAAAATTTATCATTTTAGTGTATTTCCACAGTTGGATATCAAAGTAACTAGGTGAAAACAATTTAGTTTGTGCCTATGGAATTTATCTGTTCTCTATTTAAATATGTTTGACTTTTTAAAATCTTTCAACAAATTTATTATTAGTTATAGCCTTTGAACATAGATTTTTAAAAATTATGACTTTATTTTCCAAATTGAAAGCACCTGTTAGTATAGTTTCTAAAGTATATATCTGTCGCCCAATTTAATATTACTATTTTGAAATTCTAATTCTTAATTTTAAGTGTCATAACTTATAATGTGGGAGAACAAACTTATTCTTATTCTTTAAACTGAGTACATTTTACTTATACAGAATCATACAGCAGAATTATCATAATTGTGGATAAACCTAGATATGTCATTTGGTGTTTGACACAGATGATATTAGTTAATCACATGGAAATAATGACCATAAATATTTGCTAGGTATTTAAAACAGTAAAATATTGTTATTTCCCCCCAAGGTCTAGAAATACATATATAAACCATTCAATATGTTTATATTGAGTATTCTCAATATAAGTATTAAAAAAAGGGCAAATATTGCCACCTCAAGATCCTGAAGGGCTTAATGTTCCCTTCTAAATATTACTGGCATCACACACATGACCTGGCAATGTCTTATGGAGAAACAACTCATTTGCATTTACATGAATATATTTTACATTTCATAGGAATATAAAATCAATAACTCAACATATGTCATCTAATAAACTTTTAAAACGTTAAAATGAATTTGGTTTATTGACAACATGGAATTTTAACCAGATGGCTGAAATTGAAAGTGGGTAATTCATACATATTGTACCTTCAAATTTTTATTTATTTAGATTTCTAAGCTATTGGAAATAAATTTCAATAAAAGCTATGGGTCGAAAACTTGGTGTCTACTATTTCTGTAAGACTTGATATTTTTAAATCTAATATATCAAAGTAATGTCAAATGAAAGCGAATTTTTCTTTGTTGTAGTTGGAACACTTTGGCATCTCAAAAGGGCATGGCAGCATCAGACAGGTTTCATTTATTTTCTTATATCCACAGCTGTGCTCCCAGACCCATCTGGTTACACAGCTACTAATTTTAAGAGGATGTAATAAACAAGTGACACACAACTGCACACTCCATCTGTTCTGTAGAGTGGACAACAAAACCGTTTTACAGCCGTCACCATCATATCAGCTCCATGCAAGAATACAGTTGTTGCTGTTGATTGGACACCATGATTCTCATCTCGTGGATAGCCAACTTTAATTGCCACTTTGCAACTCCTTCTTATTCTTTAAAATGACTCTCTACTATCTTTATATTTCAAGACTATACACTGGCAGAAAACGGGTTTTCGGGTAGCTCACAAAACACGTTAAGAGAATATTGCTTCAAAGGATCCATTAATTCAATTAAGTCTGTTTTAACATATGGTGTGGGTGGCATACGAAGCACTGTGTGGGGAGAAATATAGCAAGTTACATTCTTGAAAATGTCCCTGTTTTATTACACAAGCATTGTGGCGGTAGACTACTTGGAAGGTTAAAACAACTTTCAAAGTTGAAAATATTGCTTTCAAGATGCTGGTGAACCGAGCCATAACTCAGAGACACAGAGCCACTTATGCTTCCAGGCTCTGCTACGGACAGTTTTACATCAGGAAGAACAAACGGGAAGAACGTAACTTTTTCAAGCTGGCTCATCCTAGGAGATTGTTGAAAAGATCTCATTGGCACTTGATTGCTTTACTTACTTAAAAGTGAAATTATATTTTTTATCCCTATCCTTTATTATTAGTGTGTCCCTCGCATAGCCTCATAAGATAAATCAATGACCAAATATTTATTATGTAATTTCCTTTTACATACTATGAAACATAGATATTTGCCTTCTTAAAAATTTAAGGACATTTTAATTCTTGAAAATCATCTAAATGAATATCAATCAAATAGTAAACATTGGTTGCTCAAAAATTTGAGGTGACACTCATTCCATTACTAAATCTTAAATTATGATAATTTATTTATATATAATAAAATACCTTTATTTATATAAAATACCTTCCTGTCAAGTCTAGATTTAACACATTTTTATTATTCTGTAATCATTAATGATTTTCCCAAATATTCTCTATTATTAAATATATAATTATAAAATGGCACTAAGGGTCTTTCAGGTTAAAGATCTTATTGCACAAGTCTTCATATCATGAGCCCATGATTTATCAATCAATACTGTTCACTTGATATGGTTATGAAACCTGGAAATTATTTCTTATGTGAGTTCTCTTAAGAGATTGTGCTTACATATTTTTTTTTCTCCACAGGTCCTCCATAGTAATACAGTATTTTCTAAATGAAGGAATAATTAAGATTTATGTGATCTTTATATAAGATATAGTATAATTATATAACGCTTTTTAAATTTTAAAACACTAGTATCCATAATATTATTTCCATAGCAAAACCGCACATATCATAAAGTGTAATATAGTGTATTATATTATACACTGAACATATTATAAACTGTAATATAGTGACATAGTGCAGACCTAGCTGGAGGAGGGGCTCTTCAGCCCAAAGAAAATTATCTTAAGGATGTCTTATTCACATAAATCAGAAATGGCTAATTCAAACAAATATTTTTCCAATCAGTTAACAATTCATAAATGCCTCGTATGTCCTAACCATATATGTTTTCAGTTTTTTATTTAAGATTACCAACAACAGCATGAATAGACTCTATTTTACAAATGTGCTAGATCATGCCAGGGTAAGGAATGAGATGGCTGTGGTATTACATCTTCTTATCTTGTATGCAGTGCTATTATTCCTGTTTTTGGTTATGTTTTTCTATTGCACACAGCTGTTTGTACTTTCTTTACACTAATATTATTTTAAGGGCATAAATATGATTTATTCTAAAGTGTAAATACTAAAGTGATAAAATATTATAATATCATGGTCATCTTTGATCAGCTAGATAAGAGTCAAACATGTCTGATGTTCATTAGTCTTTAGTTGCTTTTCTGACATTATCAATATGGATAAAATCACTCACTAGGGAAATTAAAAGGCATTAAATGGCAATTGCTGAAAGAAACTTTGCTATTTAAAATCCTGTGCCTAAATGACAAGGCAATCAAAGTTTGACAGGGCAAACTAATTAGTATGCGTTTAAAAATGTAAAACACCTCTATGATTCTGAGTCTAAAAAGTTTCATATCATTTTAATGGGCCCTTCACATAAATTTTCAAGCAAAGTAAACAATATTTAAAGTTAAGCTCTTTGTTTTCCACAAGTTGACAGCTGAAAATGATATGCTAGCTTATTAAATAGGAGATAACTTCTAATATCTATTAAAAACCCTTCTGTAAATACGTTGAATCATTTATGGAATCTAAGAAGCTTTTCTCACATATTAAAAAAGAAAAAATTCACCTTTTTTTTAATATATATCTTAGATAACTACACAGTAAAATATATTTTATATGATATCAAAATATAGTTATTTCCCCATAAAAATTCATGAGCAAATGAAAGACTGCATTTAAGAAAACAAAACAAAACAAACTCACTACCATCAAGTCAGCTCTGATTCACAGTGACTACACAGAGCATGGAAGACCTGCTCCAGTGTGTTTCTGAGACTGTACCTACTTATGAGATTAAAAAGTCTCATCTTTCTCTTGAGGAATGGTTGGTGACTTCGAACTGCTGACCTGGTAGTTAGCAGCCCAATGTGCAACTATTTAAGAAGATAAATATATATAAATGAATGCTTGTATTATTATCTCAACTTTTAACCTATGAGAGAGCTTCATAAACTCATGGAAGGAAGAGCGAACTGCAAGATAATGAAAATCTTTCTAGGAGCTCCTGAAGTCCTCTCCTATTTCTTCAGTATATTGTGTCACAAGTCGATTTTGTCACTTCAATATTACCTTTCTGAAAGAAATGCCACCCAAATAAGCAACAGCAAGCACTTGTTGTAAAAGGTAACAATAAGTGACGTATTGCCTAGGAGGAAAATGGCAAGCAATGTTCTCACTTCAAGAGACAATTGGTAAGTAACTAAATGTAAAAAAAAAATTTAATTAAACTTTGCTTTAGAAAGGTCATGGTAATATTTTTTAAAGGATGAATGAAATTTCATGAGATTAGAAAAAAAACTTCAAAAGATTAATCATCTCTCTTTGAAACAAAAAGACAGTTTACTTTTTCTCATTAAAAATTGACACACAGCACTAACTGAAGAGATTATGTTGTGAAAACATACTGCATCACACGGCAATGCTTGATCAAAATCAGCAATCAGGAGCAAAACGGAGGCAGTGTTTCGTGATTATAATAGCAAATTCTGGAAGACAACCAAATATATCATCTGGCAGTTCAACAGCTGTTACAGCTTGGTAGTAATACCTTGGCAGTTGCTATAAGCTATAACTTAGAGAAATTGATTTTTCATCTGCCAGATAGAAACTAAAATCTCCTTTAAATATTTTAATATTTAAATAAAATATATGTATAGGTCACTTTTATTTTACATATTTGACAGTAGGTAAGGCTGCCAAATTAATTTTTCTATTAATAATTTAATGTGATCCTAAATACTTGGCAAAAATAGAATAGGTAATAATGTAAATGTAATTTTGCTGAACTTCCTTGTACTAACACATTTGATTAATATCTGCTAAAATTATTCTTAGTTTCATTTATTCTTCATAAGCAGTTAAAATACTAGTATTATGAATGTGGAAGTTTGAGAACATCCTCAGAATTTCATCAGAGTATAATAATAAGATATGGAGAATAAAATTATATGTAATAATAATTATATATAACAACTACAATGTAAATACTTGCCAAATACAATTTATTGAACGTGAGGGAAGTTTTTGCCTAAGCTATTGTAAATCACTGAAATGTCTGAACAATATCTACAGTAGCAAGTCATAGTAATATATAAATGGCCAGTTTAAGCATAATTGGCTCTCTTGGTGGAATGATGTTTTATTTGAAGATAATGTAAGACCTCAAGATAGGCACTAAGCTTTTCATTAAGTGAATTCTTAAAAAAAACAACAAACAAATAAGCAACCTTGACTCTGGCATTCTACTTATATTTTGAAATGTCATAAAGCATTGAGAATTCAACATGCATGCAATCCAGATTTAGAAAACTAAATAGTATGCATATACCAAATAGTAAAGTTATTAAATAGAGGCCAACCTTTATGCCTATTGCTGTTTTCTTTGCTTCTGCTTTTAATTTGGTTGCTCGTAAAATAGGTTTGGTCTTTTTATAATCTTGTTTACCTGGAAAGAAATCATTTCAGACAATAAGTTATGCTTATAGATAACTCAAGTTTAATAGCCCCCTGAAATGTCAAAGAAGGTTTAGATATAGTGAAACAGGTATTCAGAGCTACAAAGTCATTTCCAGTTGTAGAAACCATAACGTTGTCCCCCTCAGGTCAATTTTTCCTCCTAGCTTGCTTTCTTGGGAAGAAGAGTCTGATATACATCTTTGATTAGATGTGCCTGGGATATCACAGTCCCATTAATATGTAATTTTAACTTTGCCCTCATAATTGAAGTAGAACAGCTTATTGTAAATTTATCTTATAATAGGCACATTAAGTATCCAAATGATCAATTTAACTCCAAGATTTTTTCTAAGTAACAGACTAAAGAAAGAATCTGCAAATGATGAACATTTACTCCCTGACTTCATCAGAAATATGTTTTTAGTGTTTGTTTTCTGCTGATAGAGCATAATAAATATGACTAGATAAAAGACACAAGCCAGTTAAATTTCTATTATTAGTTGCAACCTTTTCTACCATATTTCACAGTCAAAAGTGAACAAAACTGAGTTAGTATCACTAAACTTTTTTGTGAACTGGTTAATGCACTAATGAGTACTAGTAGCACAGCCTAAAGAGAATATGTACGTATTCAAAAACAACAAAAGCACTAGCTTGCCTGGGCCTGGGGGCTTAGAAACATTATCATGGGTGACATCACAGTCAATTGGTATAATATAGGGAGGAAAGGTAATGCTGTACCATCCTACTCTGGTGACTCGCAACTAGAGTCTTAAGCTTGTGAATAGCCATTTAAAATGCAACAATTGCTCTCTCTCTGCCTACTGGAAAGAAGCTTGAAGAAAACTGGAGACGCATGGAAACAAATTGTTCAACCAGCTAAATAGGGTCTGTGAATCTGTGAGTGCAAGACCAGAAGAGCTAGATGGCACCCAGCTACCACTAGCAACTGCACTTTAAGGGATCTAATGGGACGGCCCTGATAGTGTGAAAACCACAAAATCACAAAAGAGATCTGGCTTACTAGTTGGACAGAGATTGGTGGAATCCCAGAAATTATAGCTCTGAGTTATTAGGACTAGAAATCATACCCAAGGCTCAATTTTCAACAAAACAATGGAGAGTCCCCATAAAGGGAACAACGGTATGGAGATACACACACCTTAGAGTCACCAACCATTTGAGATTCAGAAGGGCAACATTTACCCAAAGACAATGCTAGAAGGGTCAGGAAATAAGAAGTAATGGAGGCAGGCAAGATGGAAGAAGTGATGTAAGTGTATAATACGGGGAATGTAATCAATAATATGAAACAAAATATGTATACATTGTTGAAGAGAAAACTAAATCTTTCCATAAATCTTCACACAATTCACCATAAGAAGTTTAAGAGTACTATCTTAAACCATATATTATATTATTGACCAAACTCTTGTTAACTAAGAGTTAGGATAAACGAATCTCAAGTAACCTGTTATATTGAGTTGGGGAGTTAATATATGACCAGAAAGCTCTTTGGCTTTTTTTATATTCTCCTTATCTGTCTATTGTTTCTCTTATTCTTTTTCCTAGTCAATGACCATATCTTTTCAAAACTTACCTATCCATTTCCTTTACTTAGATAATACAGCTTCTAGCCTTGATTTCCACACTGAAGTAATCTACAAGCAGTGGATCTAAAGCACATCATAAAAATTTAATGTGCATTGTTAGGTTTCTTTAAATCCACTAATAATATAAAAGTATCTTTATGAGTATATACCAAATAGTTTTAGAATTAGAAATGGCAAGAAAAAGCTAGTCAAATGGGAGTAATGAAATGCTGTGTTAATATTCATCAGACACATACAAGTGTGTATTTATCTGAAGAACTATGTAAGAGTATATATAATTTAAAGAAACTGTGAACATTATTTCCCTAACTGCTAGTGTACAGCAGTTTTTTCTGGAATCTATAAACATTGAGAAGCTTAATAAATATTATTTCATGATGGGGGTTAATGATGCGGAAATGAGCCAATTGTAAAAATGTATATCAAATGATCTAAATTTAAACTATGGAATGAACAAAATATAGAAAAAATATTACTCTGACCTATTTTAAATTAGTAACATTTAATTTTGATGAAAAGCCTTTGACAAGTGTTCACTCTGATTTCACATCTCAACAGTCAAACTATTCATATCATTATTCCTGCTGAGATATAAACAGTTCAGAGCAATGAAAATGGTGACACATCAAATGCCTCCGCTCAGCGTTACAAAGCAAGTTTCTAATAAGAATCAAAAAAGAAACTTGAAGAAATAGATTTAAGAACAAAGGCTATTGCTTGTTGTATCCTATTAATACCCTATGATAAACTCTAGGTGCAATAGTTAAAAAATAAACAAAATAAGGATTCTCATAACCCATATTACTATAGATCGGCAATATTTGGGGTGGTGTGTCTATCAGTAAGATATTCAAAAATATCTTAATGAATTAATGTTACAGTAAGAATTTATTTCTCAAATTCAAATTTGACCTATCTATTGGCGAAATAATGTATTGCATTTCTTAACTAGTAATTCTGTATCACAAAACTTCATATCATCTCAAATTTACATTTTCAAAATAATTTACATTATCACGTTAGAATTTTAGATGTACAGAAAAATGAAAAATATAATGTAGAACCTTTCTGTATTACACACACTCCAACAGAGAGTTTCCCCTGTTACTAGCATCTTAACTTAGTATGGTACATTTGTTACAATGAGGGAACCAATATCGATAGTTTATAGTAAGTATAGTTCCTGTGTATTGCATTTCAATACAATTCTTATATTCCCTTAGGGGCTGGGCGCTGCTGAGACCCTATGTGCAACAGAACGAAAAGCCATCCTCACAAAACTGCTGTTATATTTGAGTCCGCTGCTGCAACCAGTGTGTAAATCCATCTTGGGGTCTTTCCCTTTTTTGCTGCCCCTCTACTTCACCAAGTATGATGTCCATTTCCAGGGACTAGTCTCTTCTGATACCATATCCAAAGTATATTCTCTTAAACAATATTTATACATTTACATAAGAGCTGATATGAACATTTGAAACCATATTTATAATAAATAAAAGGCATAAAATATTGTACACCTGTTAATTCTACAAACAGTGCATCTGTCCTTAACTCAGCATTGACCTACCTATGATATGCAAAAGAATGTACTGCAAAATGTGGTTTCAGTCTAGTAAGCACAAGCTTAGAGAAGCATCTGTTAAGTTCTTTACAAATAACTAAAACCAGATCTTTCCATCACACCCAAAGAGATTTTTAACATTTACATTTTTATGGTTTCAAGAAATATACTTTTGCCCAAATGATTGTCAAAAAGAAGAATAAAATATAAAAATGTCCCCGTCTTCTGAGTTCTTACAGGGAAGATACTTAGGTAATCTAAAATTTATATACACACTGCTTCTTGACCCTAACATGGTCTGACTTTGGTTTTACAAATAATGCAATTACCAAAGAAATGTCTTGGCAGTTGCTTAATGATGCCATTCATGAGTGGCACAAATGGTTAGATACTCAGTGTTTTGAATTAACTCAGAGGTGCCTCAAAAGAAAGTCTTGGCAATGTACTCTCCTAGGTGAATGTTTTTGAAAACCCTATGAAGCACAGTTCTCTCTAAAACGTAGGGGGTCACCATGAGTTGGAATCACATTAATAACAGATTTATTTTATGATATAATGTATGATATAATGTAGGGAGCTGCAGGTTTTTCCTCCTTATCTCTAGTTTTCTTGAGCAGGTTCTGACTCATAACGACCATATGTCCAGGCGAACAAAACGCCACCTGGCCCTTCACCATCCTCACAGTTGTTCTTATGTTTGAACCCTTCAATGCAGCCACTGTGTCAATCCATATAGTCCTGAGTCTTCCTCTTTTTTTGCTGCCTCTCTGCTTTACCAAGCATAATGTCCTTCCCTAGGGATTGGTCTCTCCAGATAACAGGTCCAAAGTATGCGAGGTGCAGTCTTGCTATGCTTGGGCCTATGGAGGCTTTTGGTTGTATTTCTTCCAGGAAGATTTGTTTGGCAGTTCATGTTACCTTTGGCAGGCCAGTCAATGGTACCTTTGGCAATCCATGGTACTTTTAATATTCTTTGCCAGCACCTTAATTCATATGAGTGCGCTGAAATGATGGATGTTTTGTTGCTTTTTGGTGAAATGTTCCATAAATATGAGGTATATATACTTCTCCAGTTCTTCTATATTCTTTCTACTTGTTCTGTCTATTATTGAGAGAGAACTGCTGACAGTTTCCCAATATAATTAAGATTTACCTCTTTTCACTTTGTTTTCCTAGCTTTTGGCTCATGTAGCTTGAAACTGTGTCCTTGGGCATAAGAACATTTAGAATTCTTATGTCTTATTAGTGAATTGAGCTTTTTTATAATTATATAACAGTAAACTAAATTACAAGTACTTTACTTTTTGTCTGATCTAAAAACTCAAACTCACTGCCCCTGAGTCAATGCTGTCTCACAGGGTCCCACTGTGGATTTCGGAGACTGCAACTGTTTAGGGGGATAGAAAGCCCGTCTTTTCCCCACTGAGTTGCTGGTGGTTTCCAACCGTGGATTGCAGCCCAACACGTCAACATTATGCCACTATTTTGTCTGATATTATATAGTAATTCATAGCTTTCTCTTGAATTATATGAAAGTGCGATGGAACCATTCCCATGCTTTTTATTCTAATAACTAATTTATTTAGAATTCATATACCCAAAAATACAGCCCCTTAAACTGATGACAAACTGTAGTATATTCATAAAATTCCATAACCATCAAAAATATCTAATTCTAGGACATTTTCATTTCCTTATTCCCCACACTTCTAGAAAAGAAAAAAAAGCCCTTTATTCATTTCCCTCTCCACTTCATTTTCTGGAAAAGACTCTACTTTTGCTTCCCTTTGGATTTATTCACTCTAGACACTTCAA